TCCCTGGGCGATCCTCCTCTTTCTTATATTCATTACCGACCCAGCACGCCTCGCTGAGACACTTCTCTCCATAATGGATGCCGACAGAGAATCGCAATCGCCTCGCAAGGAAACCGACCAGGCAGCTCAAGATGCCGACGATCTCGCCGGCCTGGGCCACTCCCAAGAACTCACCCGCAAGTTCAGCTCCTGGAGCATGTTCTTCCTCGCCTTCACCGTCCTCGGAACATGGAGTACCTTTGCTCAAGGGCTGAACAGTGGTCTGACGAGTGGCGGGCCTGTGACCATTCTATGGGGGCTCATCCTCGTCACATTTTGCAATATTTGTGTCGCCGTCTCTCTGGGCGAGCTATGTAGTAGCATGCCGACCGCTCTCGGTCAGGCCTACTATGTCTCGCGCCTGTGGCCAGGTGGCTGGGGCCGGTTCATGTCCTACATGTGTGCTTGGATCAATACGTTTGGCTGGTGGACGCTGTCCGCCTCTCAGCTCACTTTCATGACCAACTTTATCCTGAGCATGAAGGTCTTGTATACTCCAGACTGGCCCGAGGCCAGCGTCGGTTGGATCAACTTCCTCCTTTACCTTGGTCTCACGGCCCTCGTCACTCTCGTCAATGTTGTTGCCTGCCGCCGCGACGCAGTGCTCCCCTTTATCAATAACTTTGTAGGAGTCTGGTTTGTCGTTCTCTTCTTTGTCTTTTGCCTGGGCCTCCTCATCTCGGTAGGCGTTAGGGAAGGCCTCACATACCAACCTGCTTCGTTTGTTTTTGGCACTTGGCTCAACCAGACCGAGTGGAATGACGGCGTCACCTGGTTCTTGGGCCTGGTCCAGGCGGCATATGGCCTGACTGCATTTGACGCAGCAGTTCACATGGCCGAGGAGATTCCCGCCCCCAGAAAGAACGTGCCTCGTGTTCTATGGCTCTCCGTGACCGCAGGTGCCATCTCTGGCTTCATCTTCATGGTTGTCTGTCTGTTCTGTATCCAAGACCTCGATGGTGTCCTGGACCCTTCGACCGGACTCCCCTTTATGGATTTGCTGGACCAGGCCATGGGACTTAGCGGCGCAACAGTCTTGCTTTCGCTCTTCATCTTCAATGGACTGGGCCAGGCTGCCAACATCATCACCACCGGCTCTCGTCTGACATGGGGCTTTGCGCGGGATGGGGGATTCCTGTGGAGTGACTATTTTGGCCATGTCGACCACTACTGGAAAGCTCCCGTGCGCTCTCTGTGGCTCCAGGGCACCATCATCGGATTGGTCGGCGTCCTCTACACGTTCGCCAATACGGTGCTCGAGGCCGTCCTCAGCGTGTCTACCATTGCCTTGACGGTGTCCTATGGAATGCCCATCCTGGCGCTGTTGATTGTTGGTCGGGACAAGCTGCCCCCTGGCGGAGAGTTCTCTCTGGGACGGCTTGGGCCGGTAGCCAACTGGATCTCGGTCATCTACTGCGTTGTTACTACGGTGTTCTTCTTTTTCCCTTCGGCGCTCAACCCATCCCCTGCCGATATGAACTATGCCATTGCGGTTTTTGGCGTCATGCTGGTTGTGGCGGTAGCCCTCTGGTTCATCCGGGGAAATCGCACATATCTACAGACGGCGGGGGCAGAGGAGCGAGCTATGCACGCGAGGGAGTTGGAGATGTCGCACCTCCAGGGGGTGGCGAGCGGGGAAGGTGAAAAGCCACAGGAGCTTGAGACCAAGCTGGAGAAGGACCAGTTGAAGCAGTGATATAGAGATACTGGGTCAACGGGCGACTACTTGATCATTACTTTGCGGCACCCTGTCTTGTTCTTCTCTCTGCTTCTCGAGGCATTCGGCCGATGAGGTGGCTTTCCAGGTATTATGCATACTCATAGTAATATTTCCTTCTTTCCAACAGCTTGCAGGAATAGTAGAAGAATAGACATGGCTTCTATCAAAATCTAAGTATTATCATCATCCATTGGTCATAGCATCTTCGTTTCTGGCCTCCTCAAGCGGTCGATGGGCCGTATGGCAGCCTCCAGCAATTTCTGGCCTCCCTTGCATTAATTATGAGCAGCCAATACCGAGCCGGCCGAGTCATGTCCAGGCATGTTCGACGTTATGCCCAACCAGGCAAGTTTATTGGTCAATCTAGACCGAGATAGCGTGGGACTTGGGTGATTCGCTGGTTGGTCCAGCCTGATCCTTGCCCCATCCGCTTATCCTGCATTCGCATAAGCACGAGAATGAGGGTGGCACACGGTTAAGTGGCTCGTACTCTCCCTCGTCCTTCCATCCCTCTCCCGAGATCGTTCACGTACATCTGCAAGGAGACAACTAAGCAACCTTGCTCGTGGCTGACGTAGCCTGGTTTCTGTTGGGTAACAGATATCACCCATTGGCTGTCAAATCAATCAATCAATTACCCCAGGCTTCTCTCACTTAACCTGCTCCTCTTCTCCAGCCGGTTCCCCGCAATCCAAATCTCTGATTCTTTCTCCACGCCCGACAGACAGGTTGTGTGCGTACTGGATCGCTGCCCCCCTGGACCTCTGTCGGTGATAAACACCCGTAACTATCTGTTCGCCATCTCTTTCTGGACCCTGCTTTGTGCTTGTCGCCCTTGGACGACAGCAGAAAGACCATCACGACGATTGACGATTCAATACGCTTTCCAGCTTCCTACCTTTTTTCATCTTCTCGCCCCCTTTTCCCCTGGATGGTTATGTATAAGGCTTCTTACGCCCCTCGGTTGCCCCGGCCACATATGGAGGGTACAGACTCTCTCAAGTTGTATTTTTTGGCCGAACTGTTGAAACGCATACACTCTTGCAGTTGCCGTCGCTAGTATCGCTCGCTCAACGCATCGCACATCTTGGATAAACAGTCAGTGATTGACTATTGAATTTGTGTTGCTGGTTGCGCAGATGGCGAGGATACGCGTTGTGGCAGGCTCCTGTTGGCCCTGCAAAAAGAGACGTGTGAGATGCGACCTGGAGAAGCCTGTTTGCCAACGATGTCTCCAGGCCGGGGCAACCTGCGACTACAACACCCGTTTGATTAGGTGGAGTTCACGACCAAGTGCTCGGACCGTGCCAAGTATTATGCAAATTGCTGGTCTGGGTCGGGATGGGCTGGGTGCCAGAGAGCAGCGCGCCCTGGATTATTTCCACGGTCGCGTCTGGCCTCTTCTTCAAACGTCAGAGGAACCTTGTGCGCCCCCTCTTCCCGTTGCTATACAGCATCGTGTTGTTCTACTAGCGACATGTGTGCTCGCAGACTCGCACCGCTTACTCCAGGACGGCAAGGATCATGATGGGTCGTTGAACACGAAGCGGCTCGAGTGCTTAGCCGCCATCCGTTCGGAGGTTGATGGATGCTGCGCGCAAGGAAACAACAGTACTGGCCTCCCGCATGTTCTCCTTTTCGCAGTTCTCCTTCTTCATCTTCATGACGGCTTCATGGAGCTTGCGGGCCACGTCGCGTCAACCTCAAGCCACCACAAAGGCGTGTTGGCCATTCTCGGTCAGCTCGGCGGCCTCGAGCCTGTGTTGCGTAACAGCCAAGAATCTTTGCAGATGCTACTCTCCGAGTTCGTCTCGGCTGACCTGACCAGCGCGTTGCTTCAAGGAACTGCACCTTCATACCCCCCAGCCGCCTGGCACGTCATTGATCAGGGGGCTGTCTGGTGGGGGCGTGATCCTCTTGGTCGATACTCGCTCGCTTTTGTCCTTCGCGAGATGTCTGCCATGGCCTTTTATCACGATTCCCTCGTCAATGGACAGTCCTCGCTATGCATGGACGAAGTCCATTCGTTTGAGGAAGCGTTCCGCCCAGTGTACGCGCCTGTCGCGATGCCCATGCCGGATTCTCCATCGGATCCTGAAGCAGGACCGCTCCAGTGTCTCAGCGAGAGAGATATCGAGGCTGTCCATGCCTTTGCGCTGATCCGGACTTTTCAACACACGGCGCTAATCTTCCTCTATCGTGCCATCTGTGGACTACCCACTCTTCACCCCCTCGTGCAGCAACATGTCCGGTCGTGTTTAGATTGCATCATGGAGATTGAACGGTCATCAAAACTGCTTCATTGTGTCATCTTCCCTCTATGCGTCGCGGGTGCCCATGCTCAGTCGCCCGATTCTCAACATGAGGTCTTGAGCATGACGAATATGATATATGACAACATGCGGTTCGCCTCGGTCAAAGCAGTTTCGCAGGTTTTGACTTCCATCTGGACCACTGAGTCATCTCTTGATCTCACGTGGACGGAGCTCTTTGCACAGCTTAGTCCCCATGTGCTCGTTCTGTAGAGGACCGATACGGTGCAGCCAGCAGATGGAGCACGGCTTTCGCTTGAAGGGAGGGAGGGACAAGAGTAGGACCGGCAATTTCTTGTGGACAATGTTGGCTTGTGGTGTAACCGGTATGATTTGTGTGCAAGACCGGGTTCATGCCTGCCCACGGATATGCAGTGAGTGAATCAAATCGATGACAGTACCTCCCCGCATCAGAAATGTCTCTAGTATATATCCGAGGGCTAGATCACAAGCCAATGCAGTTCATTCAAGGGACAGTCCAGGGAACTGGAGCCACCCATCTGACGATGGCGTGGTCGTAGAACGGAGGAGTGAACGTAGGGATGGCCCTTGCCAGAAAGCGGGGTAACCGAAACGGGAAAGTTTTTGGACCAAGTCAAGCCCCACTCTTTGTTGGCCGATCGGCGCTATCGCTCAACGGGCAACTCCGACGGCCACCAATGTTGAGCCTCAGATCTCCCAATTGCAAGATGATAACTGCAGATATCCGGGAGCCGGCTTACGTACAATGATAATCACATAATCGCAACCGGCTGGGGACAGAGATCTGCCGGATCTATCTTAGGTACCTAGTTACTAACATAGCTGGGGCATATTTCTTTCCGCTTTGGTATTGAACGCCACTTGAACGACATTGGCTCGCTTCCGTCACATGCACGTTCATCCACCCCATTCCCCAGACATAGACAGAATTATTACTTATACTCAGTATGGCCGGTCGGTTGGTAGCTGTGGGGTAATCGTTAGATTGTCATTTATCTACCTCGTTCGTTTGAGAGTCAGTGTCCATTATCCGCAACTCATATCAGTTCCTTCTCGTTCCTACTTGTTTCCTCTTTCCATCAGTGTTACCTTTCCTATCAAACATCTCATAGTACGGATCTATAATCTACGATGTCCCTTTTTACAGATCTCCAAGCCCCAAACGGGCGCAAATACGAGCAGCCTACGGGACTTTTCATCAATAATGAGTTCGTCGCATCAACCTCTGGCCAGACGATCACCTCAATAGACCCTGCGTAAGTAACTCCCGAGGAAAGGGGACCAAGATTTTACATTCATTCAAAAAGCTGACCTGTCGTTGCCGCGCCCCTTCAGCACAGAGAAACCCATCGTAACTGTGCAGGCTGCTAGCGCACAGGATGTTGACAAGGCCGTCAACGCCGCACACAAGGCTTTGCGCCATCCCTCATGGTCTGATCTACCTGCTACTGATCGCGGCCGGCTTATCGCCCGTCTTGCCGATTTGATTGAGGCCAACGGCGAGCTCTTTGCCACTATTGATGCCTGGGACAATGGTTCGTGACCCCATCGAGCTGTCATTTAGAATGATTTATTTCGCCAAATGAAGCTCCGACGCTGACTAGAGATTCAATTTAGGCAAAACCTACAAGGAGGCTTTGGAGGGCGATGTAGTCGAGGCTGTCACCACTATTCGCTATTACTCTGGGTGGGCAGACAAAACATTTGGACAGACTATCAACACAAACAAGCACAAGCTTGCGTACACTATTCGTCAGCCTATCGGTGTTGTGGGCCAGATCATCCCTTGGAACTATCCTCTCTCTATGGCGTCCTGGAAACTAGGCCCTGCTTTGGCCTGCGGTAATACAGTCGTGATCAAAGCAGCTGAACAGACGCCCTTGAGTATCCTCGTTCTAGCCCGCTTGATAAAGGAGGCTGGCTTCCCCCCAGGTGTTGTTAATGTAATCAACGGGCTAGGAAGAGAGGCTGGCTCTGCTTTGGTCGAGCACCCCTTGGTTGATAAGATCGCATTCACAGGTTCAACGGCTACGGCGGCTCATATCATGGGCGCTGCTGCTAAGACTTTGAAGAATATCACGCTTGAAACTGGCGGCAAGTCGCCGTTGATCGTCTTTGATGATGCGGATCTTGAGCAAGCAGTCAAGTGGTCCCATTTTGGCATATTTTCTAACCAAGGCCAGATCTGTACTGCGACATCTCGTATCCTTGTACAGGATACTATTTACGACAAGTTTATTCAGAAGTTTATAGACACCGTTAAGACTGTCAGCCGGGTAGGGAATCAGTGGGATGAGAGCACATATCAGGGCCCTCAAGTTTCCGAGGCACAGTACAACCAGATCTTGAAGTACATTGACATCGGGAAGCAAGAAGGCGCTGTGGTTGCTGCTGGGGGTGAACGATTAAACCTTTCTGCCGATAGGAAGGGCTTCTTCATCGCGCCGACGGTATTCACGGAGGTAAGCCCTTCCATGAGAATTTTCAACGAAGAGATCTTTGGTCCCGTTGTAGCTATTTCTCGCTTTGGAACAGAAGAGGAGGCATTGGCCCTAGCTAATAATTCCAAATACGGTCTTGGCTCAGCTGTTTTCACGACCGACCTGGAGAAGGCACATCGGGTTGCTGAGAAAATAGAGGCGGGCATGGTCTGGATCAACAGCAGCCAAGATTGCGATCCAAGAGTGCCTTTTGGAGGCGTCAAGCAGAGTGGAATCGGCCGAGAACTTGGAGAGGCCGGACTGGAGGCTTATTCACAAATCAAGGCTGTGCACGTGAATTTGGGGAGTAAGCTATAAAAATGATATGGAATGATCACAAGTTTAAGCTCTGCTCATGGAGACGAAAAGAGAGACTAGGTTTGATTCACCAAACAATTGTAACCTCGAATTGACACCCATATTAATCTATCTGAGTTCACTTAATATGAATACAGTATTGTAAATGTATAATTACCGAGCTACGCAAAATGGCTTCATGGGTTCAAAGAACATCGCTAGATTCATTTGGATCCGTGCATCTCTGCATCTCTGCATCTTGCCATGAGCTTCACGCAAACCAAGGTTGGCCCACAGATTTCGCAACCGCGGCCGCCACGAGTTTCTGGATTTCGATCCCAGGATGATAGTTATCTTTCCACAGACAACTCTTACCATCCGAGTTGTAGCAGGTAGCATCTGGGGCTCCATAGCGAGAAGGATTGTTGATGGCCTCATTGAAAGGAGCTGTTGTATCGACAACCCATGAAGTTACACCAGAATTCTTCGATTTGAAAGAGGCCAGGTTAGTCGATATAAGGTTATTGTAGAATGATATCGTGTTTGCAAGTTGTATATTGGAAGCCTCCCCATTTGCAAGCATTAGAGGAGTTTTTTGTGTTGCTACATCAGCCGTTAGAAGTTACGCCTGCAACTTTGGTTCTTGTGGAGAGAAATGGACAGAGAACAGACAGTTGAACTTACGGGGAACTCCCAGAAGCACAAATTTCCTCACACCGGCGTTGTACATGATTTGGAGCTGGTCGAAGTACCGCCCTAGCACTTTGGTGATGAGAGCCTCCCAGCCATCCAGATAGAAAGCATTCCCAACATCATTAACACCCATCCAAACGCCCACTAGAGTGTTATCTGATGTCCATGGGGCATAGCTAGGCTTTGAGGCCAGATTATTCGAGAACTTGGTCGTTTGATCGATGAAACTTAGGACCGTTGGGGACCAAGGAGCAATCAGCTCTGCATCCGTAGTGGCACCTCCATCTGCCAGGTTGTATGAGTACACGAGGCTTGCATTGTAGTTGGTTACCAGGAAACCGAGCCAATTGAGGCCACCGGTAGTAGTCCATCCAGGAAGGTCGGGGTTTCCGAGAGGGTTAGATGGATTAGGCTTCGTGCCAGCGATATCGAACCCAGTTTGAGAGTAAGAGTCTCCGCTAGATGACGAAGATTACACACAGATTAGTATATGCATGTATATCGCGGCTACAGCTCCTTTATGGGACTAATTAGCATACAATGTGATAAAATATCTGGCTGCGGAAGGGCTGCTCGTGGTTGTTGTCTGTGTTGTCGTGGTTGTAGTTGTCACTGGAACCACCGAAGTAGTAGTAAAGGATGTTGGAGCCGCAGTACTGGGGACGCATTGGTCTAGCCCACAATTCAGTCATTAGACATTGAAAATTATAAGCCTCCCATTTGCCAGGGCAACTTACAATACCAAGGGTTTTGCGAGGAACAGACTGATCCTGCCGTACAGCTCGTAGGGCCAGTGTAGCCATTTCCGCCACACTGACCATAGACTGGCACTTGAGCGTTAGTTCCCGGCACAAGGCCTAAAAGGGCGGTTGCTGTGATTTTGAGGCCAGACATGATGTAATGGAGATTTTCCAAACAATTTTCGATCAGAATCGGTCAACTTCATTGCCTCAGGGAGTCTACATGACGACAATAGAGGGAGCTTTTATATCCTTTTCCCTAAAGTGACTCTTTCTACGATGGGAAGAAGATTCCAATATTCGGTCTTATATTGATGCAATTAATCTACTTTTGAAGAAGCTTTGACATGCTGATTGGCGGGAAAAGGCGTCAATTCATTGTTCCTCGGTGCCTTATCCCGGAGATCCGCGCCTAAAACGTGTCTTGAACCCTGTCAAGGTAGCAACGTCCCACCCGGACTAAGAAGGTCCCTTCTGGAATTCATTGATGGAAAAGATAGAATAACTGGATAGATATCAGCCAGAATATGTTGATGCGGGGTTTTCCGAGAAGGGCGATCTTCCTTGGTAGCCGAAAAGGGGAACGGAGGATGTCGTCGGCTGCTCGGCAACTTGGCCGAACTCGGTCGACATGAATGGGTGCGTATAAAAAAGTCAGTCTTAAACTACTCGTCCATGAGTAGCTCACTGCTTAATAACTGAGATTCACATATTCACGAGGGCATGAGTTGTGTGTCTGGGAATACCATCATCCAGCTTCAATTTCTATTCTCTAGAGGCAAAGTTTAGCCATAAGCCAGCTGATTCCAATACCAGTAGCCTTCAGGTATTGAGATAGAAGACATACCAGTGCTGGGCTCTCCTCGTGGTTCACGAAGAATTATCGCTTCAGGCATCATTTTATCCGCACAGCCATGCGATGAGCCGCTTAGTTCGGAGATACTAGCCCGCCAACGAAGACTGAAGTAATTATTGAAGACAACTAGACGTGATATATGCAAAACCTGGCGATCCACAAGCTCTAAGTGGACTAGAAACTGGAACCAGCCCTCTTCCGTGAACTGCTATCGGCTGGGAACAATCAGATAATTGGACCATTCCGACGGTCTAATGCGGATATATAAAGAGATCTGTTACTAAAAGCTTTTAATTCGATATTCTTTTTTTTTTTTTTTTTTTTTTTTTTTTTTTTTTT